CATGTTTACTACCACTTATAAATAAGTAAAGAACTACAGCTAGCATAATTCTGCCATTTCTGACAGGATACAGATACCATGGATGAACAGGAAAACACAAAAAACAAACAAGAGCTACCTGCCACTCGGGGGGACTGGCAGGAAGTTCTGTCTCTAAGGTTGTTTCTGTAGAATGAGAGTCATCCAAAGCTAACGTAATTAGCGATACTGAGCAAATGTATTCCTATCCATACTTTTTATTTATTTTCTTGTATTTTATTTTATTTTTTTCATTTTTTGACCCACACTACCACAATATGTGTTACTTACTTTGATGTGTTTTCAGTTTTTATTTGCTGTTTTTTTTTTTTTTTAAATCAACAAGTGGAGCCTGGCAAAGAGAAACTCATGTGAAAGGACTTCAGAAGAAAATCCATTTGCATCATCTTTTAATACGAAATGACAAAAAAACAGTTGTACCAAAAAGGTACTTTTTATTGCTAATCTGGATTATAATGTGTATAGTTCCAACCATGTTACACAGAGGTTTGTTTTGTATATTATTTTTTTATGCCCAACAACAAGACTTGTAATGATATTTTGCTGTGGCAGATGTGTTTCTTGCATCCAGTCTCTATCTCACTCCTTTCAGCAGCCAGAATATCCCCCTGCTTTTATTAAACAAATTTCTTTCAAAATCTGAAATAATAACAAAATGGATGAGGACATTATGGGAAAAACAAAAACATATGAAATTAGTATTACACCGTCAGGCTCCGCATGAGTTTGTCTTAAATACAGGAGTCCTGCTTGACAGATTTTGTGAAGCTCTGACGCTCAATGCCTCAAACTCCCGTATGCAGTTTTTATGCCTATTCAGCCACTCTGATTATAACTCTGCATTCATCTTCATATTGTTAAAGGAAAAACACCATGCCTGAGGCAACCAATCAATAGATTTAGTTTGTGAGAACACTGTGAGAGTGGGATGTGAATTATCCTGTCTCTAGGCTACATTTTAGTAGCACCTAATATCAGATGATAGAAAGTGGAAAGCATTGCCTTTAACTTGTATTTTTGTTGCAGTACATTTGCTCACGCTATTAGAAGTAGATAAACTTCAACATCTGACCTGAAATCTAAACATATAAAATTACCCGACATAGACTTAATTCCTGTGAAATCTGGATTCCTGTCCAGGTGCCTGCTGTCCTCAGTTCTGAAACCCTCTGTTGTAATCGTTAGATGCCTCCATTTCTGGATGGCTCTGCCTTTTCTCTGTGGACCCCACAGAGGCTTATCTTGGCCAAGGTTCTTGGCAGAATGAGCTCCCCAGTGAAGTCGGGACAGTACAGTTGCTTTTATCCAACACATTCTCACTCCCAACTCGTCACATATTGACGCTTGGGCAGGTACCCTCGGCGTCACATATTGACGCCGAGGGTACCCCCTTGGCGTCAATATGTGACGCGAAGGGTTCTCTCATTGAATGCTGTACCGTTCCCTAAGCGTCCGATACTGACGACTTAGGAACGAATAAGATTTTTTTAAAAACCTTTATTTACAATTTATGTGCTAGTTTGAACAGGATATTAAGAATATTTACTACAAATACATCAGTCACAATACTTTAATTCGGTATTTAAAAATAACTCAGTAAAATATAAAACCGGAGTAGTTTTGTTGTGCTTGTTGTTAGCTTGATTAAAAAGCCTTAAAAAAAAAAAAAAAAAAAAAAAAACTATTTTTGAGTATATCAATGATTTACACCAAATAAATTTAAGAAAAATTAAGATGTG